CGGAGGCAAAAAGGACCCGAGGCGGCGGGGAGGCTCCCGACGGTGACTCCTTCGACGAAATGCAAGCTGAGGCTGCTCAAGATGGAGCGGATCAAGGACTATCTGCTGATGGAGAAGGAGTTTGTTGCGAATCAAGAGAGGCTGAAGCCTCATGAGGAGAAGGCGAAGGAAGATAGATCTAAGGTTGATGATCTGAGAGGGACGCCAATGAGTGTGGGGAACTTGGAGGAGTTGATTGATAAGAATCACGCGATTGTTTTGTCTTCTATTGGCCCTGAGTATTATGTTGGGATAATGCCGTTTGTTGATAAGGATCAGCTTGAGCCTGGTTGCTCGATCCTGATGCATAATAAGGTAATTTGGATTAGGGTTTAAATACTGGGTCTTGGTTGTGAATTTAGGATGTTTATTGGATTGGATTTAGTGTTAGGTTCTGTCTATTGTTGGGATTTTAGAAGATGAAATGTACTAGGGTTTAAAGACTTGATCTTTGGACGTATATGATAGGAGGGGAGATGTAAGAAAAAATGAATTGGGTTTGTTTTAGGTTTATTGTGAATTACAATGTTTCTTTAATTGAGTTTTGTGGTAGGTTTGGGAGTGTACAAGATGAAGTGAACTAGGGTTTAAAGGCAGAATCTTTGTTGCGAATTAAGATGTTTCTTCAATTGAGTTTTGTGGTAGGTTTTTTCTGTTGTTGGGATTTTTACTAGATGAAGTAGATTAGAGTTTAAAAATTTGATATTTGTTGTGATTATGATATGGGTTCATAGGGTTTTGTGTTAGGTTCTGTCTGTTGTTGGGATTCTACAAGATGAAGTGGATCCGATGGTTTCTGTTATGAAAGTTGAGAAGGCTCCTTTGGAGTCATATCCCGACATTGGAGGTTTAGAAGCTCGAATTCAGGAGATCAAGGAAGCTGTTGAGTTTCCTTTAACGCATCCTGAGCTGTATGAGGACATTGGTATTAAGCCTCCCAAAGGTGTGATATTGTATGGTGAGGCAGGAACTGGGAAGACACTACTTGCTAAAGTTTGCATTACTACCTATAATATATTAACAAATATAGTATCGATTTAGAGTAGCTTAGTTTCCTCTTTAAGTTTCAGTTTCATTCGATGGCTCATTGTTCAGATGAATCTAGAGTCTCCCGTTAAGTAATTTCTCTCTTATTGCAACATAGTTTTCCGGTTATCTAGCTACAAGAATTTTGCGTGACTCTGCTTGGAGTAGGGATGTTGTCTAGTGGGTTAGGGTTAGGCCCGCTTTTGTTTATTATAAGCCCAGCCCTATTTTAACCCAACCCTATTTTAGCCATATTTTAATAAAGGGTTAGGGCTGGTACCAGGGTTAGCCCATTTAGTTATTTTTGTAAATCAATATTTCATTAATTATTTGTAAATCAATTTTAATCAAATTTTACATATTTTTTTTAAATTCAAGATATAATCATATAAATGGAAAATAAAATTATGAAAATAAAAATAAAAAATTATTCATTTTTGTAAGTTTTAAAAATGAAAAAAACAAAGTTTACATTCTCAAACAAAGTTCAAAATCAAACAAAGTTCAAAATCAAACAAATTATGATTTATGGACCAACACTCCGATTTTACATAATCAAGAAAGCTGTAAAATTCTCAAAGTTTAGGTTGCAAATACTTATTTTTGTTAAACACCAAGAAAGCTGTAAAATTCAAATTATGATTCATAATAACACTCTCCTCAGCAACCAACATTCCTGCTCTCCTAGTCTCGTGAGTCATTACTATCTGCAACAATAAAAACACTCAAGATAAGTTATAACACACAAAACATATTTGAGACTATAACACTCCAAATGTAACTTCTGAATTAGCCAAATAGCATTTTAACTACTACTCTAACAGACTCAGATCGTGAGAGAGAACCGTTGTGTAAGCTTAACCATAATTTATTAATACAAGTCTCAGTAATGTGTGTCCATACCAACCACAAAACATAACAGTCAAGAAACAGTAGGTTTCACAGTCCAGAAGTAAGAGTTGCAATAATCTAAAATTACTAATATATTGCTAAGTACGAAGTCTCACAGTTGATTCGCAAAGCCATCACAAATACAAACTAAACAGAGATCACAAAGCAACCTACTACTCAGCCTAAACATATACGTACTGCTGCAAGACTAAAACTCAAGTTTCATCACATGTACTCAAACTCAAGTTTCATCACGTGAATATAACACTCAATCAGATGAAGAGAGATTACCAACTCCTGCATCCTCATCATCATAATCAAAATAATCTTCGATGTCTCCTGCATCAAGCAAGTAATATGTTGAGTTAAGCAACAAGTAATCAAGCTTGAAACAGTAAGCACTTACCTTCCAATTCGGCAAAGCCGCGTAGCCAGTCTCGAGTACAAAGCAATGCTTGCACGGTTTTAGGTAGCAGACAGTTTCTAAAAGGGTTCAAAACACGATCTCCGACACTAAACGCAGCTTCTGAGGCAACAATAATAATAGGAATGCTTAGAATATCCCGGGCAAGCAAAGCTAAATAACCATATATGTGTTCCTTATCTTTCCAATAGTCTAACACTTCCAAATCTGAGAAAGCCGAAATGTCAACTTTAGTATCAGCTAAATATATATCCAGATTTGTCCTTTCGTTGTTTGGACCAAACTGGACAGACCTTTCAAGGTCAAGCAGATCCTATATTCAGAGATAAAGAACAATTAGCCCATTATTAGGAGATCAAAATAAACATTAAACAAAAAGCAATTTTGTAGATACTTACATCATCCCAATTATCATCAAGAGGCGATTCTGTTAGAAGATCATGTGGAGTTCTTACTGGAACAGTGGAAGATTCTGAAGACTTGGAGCAATACTCTTTGTAAAGAGACTCCAAGCTCTTCCTTACTATTTCATTCTTCTTCTCATCAGTTCTAGGATCCAGCCTACTATAAGCTTCTGTAAGCATCTGAAGCTTAATTCTTGGATCAAGTATTGCTGCCATAGCTAAAATAAGGGTATATTCATCCCAGTATTTCGAAAACATACTTTGCATTTCCATCGCCATTAATCTCTTCTCAGTATCTTTGCACCTTGCATACTTCCTCAACAGACACTCGATCTTCCACACCAACATAAAATAGACACTGGCTGTTGGGTATTTGACTCCAAAAAAGTACTTTGTTATTGTACTAAAAGGCTTCAAGAACTCTTTAATCTTCTCACCACGATTCCACTCTTCTTCAGAAGGCAAACACTTGTAGTTTCTATCATAGAGATGCAGATTAGCAAAAGCCATGCGAAATTTCAAAGCCCTCACCAGCATATCATACGTGGAATTCCATCTTATGTCCACATCCAAGGATAAGCCAAAAGAACCTGATATAGCAGCGCTCTCTACACAAGCCGCAAAAGAATCTTTTCGTGAATCATAAGCTTTGACGAATTTCACACTCTCTCTAATATTCACAAGGAGACTAGAACCTAATTCTAATCCTTTTTGACTATCAGATTCAGTATATGGGCGCAACACCTTACATGGATATATTTTCCATCACACAACAGCCCGTTCCCACTCTGCAGATGATGTGTCAAGATGTGTTGCATGTTGTCATTCGCAGAGGCATTATCTAAAGTTATTGTGAACACTCGTCGCTCTAAAGCTCCACTCTTTTAAGATGTCAAAAATCTTCTTGGCTATTGCTTCACCGGTATGCGGGGGTTTGAGATCACAAAACGCCAATATGTGATTGTGTAGCTTCCAGTTCTGATCAATATAGTGAGCAATCACGCAGATATAGCCCCTCATTTGATTGTGAGCCATCCACAAATCAGAGGTAAGACTCACTCTGCCTTGGTGACTAGCAAACAATTCTTTCAACTTCAGCTTCTCTATTTCATATCTTTTCAACACATCACTACTTGCGGTCTGTCTACAAATTGGCTCACAGTCAGGGTTAAGATACTTATCTTTCTCTCAAACTTTCTCATACTCCACATACCGAAAAGGAAGGTCGTGATAAATTATAATCTCAGAAACCATATCCCTATCAACCTTGTGATCATATACATGATGACTATCTTCAGTATCTTCAGGTTTTTCGGGACAATTCTGAGAATGGCGAATCAATGTTGATGTTCCATAACTCTTCTCTATCACTAACTTAATACCGCAGTAGTGACACCTAGCCCTTTCTTTACCATCAGACTCTACTCCTACTGATGTAAAATGTTCCCAACATTTAGAGGTTTTTTTTACGGACTTGTTTAGGACGTTTAGCTCTTGGGGCTCGTGGAGCTTGTCTACCTCTTGTCTGTGTTGACCGAGTAGGTTAAGTGTGTGTTGACCGAGCAGGTTGAGTGTGTGTTGACCGAGAAGGTTGAGTAACACTTAGATCATGTTCTTGATCTTGATTGTCTTCGTTATACTCCATTTCCATAAATTCTTCTTCTGCCTCCAAAGCTGCCATTGTTTGTATTGTTGGCGAGTCCATGATGCACCTGCAACAATAGTCACCATACCATAATCAAACCTTAGAGACAACTAAACAAAGCTAAATCATTAACTAAGAACGAAGGTAACATTGATACTAAAGAGACAGAGCTAAACAAAGCTACATCATGAACTAAGAACGAAGCTAACATAGGAGTATAGCTATCTAAGTTTCAATTACATTATATATGACTTGTTCAGATGAATCTAGAGTCGACTGTGAAGTATTGTCTCTCTGATTGAAAGTTTGCAACAGAGCTCTTTCTCTTATTTAGCTAAAAATTTGTGAGGTTGTGCTTAAGGCCGAACCTTTTTTGTGTTGGTCACATGAATTTTTGAAATTAGATCATAGGGATGAAGATTTATTTAGTAATTTTTGTTTTGGTGGTTTGCTTCGTAACAAATATGTAATTGTTGCAATCTGCTGGCTTATTTTTTGTTACATGCATGTTCTTACTTTACTTTTGAACAATGTGGTAGTGAACTCTTGTATCATTGTTTTCTATTAGGCGATGGCTAACTCTACATCAGCTACTTTCTTTAGAGTTGTTGGTAGTGAGCTCATTCAGAAGTATTTGGGAGATGGTCCCAAGCTTGTGAGGGAGCTTTTCAGAGTTGCTGATGACCTTTCACCATCAATTGTCTTCATAGACGTGATTGTTGCTGTTGGTACCAAGCGTAAGTCAAAATCTAATACACAGATATGATACATGACCTATTACTATTTTTCTTCGGAGGTAGTAAACTGATGAAAATATTGAAATAAAACAGGTATGATGCTAATTTAGGAGGTGAGCGTGAGATCCAAAGAACTATGTTGGAACTTCTGAACCAGCTTGATGGATTTGATTCAAGAGGAGCAGAGAGATTTGGATAGGGTAAAGGGAAATAAGAGTAAAATTTTTATAAGCTTTTGAATCGATATTTGTCTTTTGTGTGGTTATTGCTGCGTCTCTCTGCAAGTTGATTGACTGGTAAAGCGATGTTTGATTGTGATGTACTCATCTTCATGTGTGTGGACAAGATGGGCTTAGGGAAACAAAATAAGCCATTTTATTTTTCTTTGAACTTAAGAAATTGTGAAGAGAAAGGAAAAAAAAAACAAAAGAGTGTGAAGCGACTTTTGGCGAGAGCAAGATGTATCTCCATTACTCACTTTTCTTGATCCTCTTCTCTCTAGTTTCACTCCAAGGTTTACATTTTCGATTTTTATTACATGTTCCAATCCTCTTCTGTTTATCAGTTTACGTCAAATCTAATATATTATTTGTATTGGATCTGTTTGTTTTTTTTTCATGTATATAGGTTTTACTAAGAAAACAAAACATGAGATGTGTCGGAATTGCAGATCGGTGTTAAGGTACATTTTATTATTATTTTTTCATATAAGCAAATGAAACGATCATTGTAGCCGAACACTCAGTACAAAGAGAAAGCCAACGACCAAATTCTCTCGGAAACAAATGTCAGACAAATCCGAGATCCATCAAAAGGTTTGAACTGCCAAGGAGATCTAAACCCAATGGCAGAGACAAGAAAGAGAAGAAGTTCCAACCCGCAGCTCCACCGTTTCGCGTTGGGAGGAAGCAACGTAAGCAAAAAAAACCGAGGCGGCAGCACGGCTGGGACGAAGGCAGAGTTTGTAATGTCTATTGTTTTTAGTATTTTGCATATATTTATGCAATAATATGTGCTAATTCTAAAGTTTGTTTTAGAATTTGTAAATTTTTCCAATCTCAGTGAAGTTACTTTGCCGTAAAAAACATCTTAAAATATTTGTTAAACATATTATTTTATATACGATTATGGAGCAAAACAGACACATGTCAAGGCAGTCATCTTTGGATTCTTTTTTTTCTTTTTCTTTTTGTGCAAAGTTATCTCTGGATTCGCTTTGAGGCATTTTCCACTTTTAAACTTCATGTCAACAACGCAATGTTTATTGCAGTCTGGAAATTGCGAGCAGGGACCCGCCATGTGCTTAGTTCTGTCACCATCCGCTTCTGCAGATTCTGAATTTTATAAATTAAATAAAAGTTCAGTAAATCTTTGGACAAGAATCTTTTACGCCATTTAATTCGTATATAGTATGATATATAGTTAAAGTATGCATATAAAATGTAAAATTCTAATACTCGGGATCAAGTGAACAACGAGACATAAGAACACAAGAAAAAAACATGTCTTTGTTAAAGCCATTTTTTATCTTCTTTTTTGTTGTTGTAATTTGTATTGTGATTTTTTCTTCTTCTCGATTTTGCTTATGAAATTGTAGTTCAGGGAATTTGATATATATATATATATATATATATATATATATACATATATGTATGTATAAAACAAAAGTACAAAACTTAACTTATCTTTTTAATTATTTTCTTATAATTTTTAGATTTTTAATTTATTTTAACTATTTTATTAACTGTATTTATCATAATAAATTTGCATATATTTATTAACCTTTTTCAAGTGTTTTATTACATTTTTGTCACTAAAATATTACTTCTAGATTTTATTTAATTATTTTTGTCATTTTAGAACAATCATAAAACTTATTTAATTCCTTATGCTAACTTATCTAATACTCTGATCACTAACTACTAATTTAATATTTTAATCACACTATTTAATAATTAGCTATTTATCATAATAATTTTGCATATATTCTAATTAATAATTAGTACAAACTTAACTTATTTTTAATTATTTAATTATAAATTTTACATTTTATTTATTTTAACTATTTTATTAATTATTTTCTGTCCTTTAAAACAATCATAAAACTTATCTATTTCCCTATTCTAACTTATATTATACTCTGATTACTAACTAACAATTTAATATTTTAATCAAACTATTATGATTAGCTGTTTTAACTAATTAATGTTATATTTAAAAAATATACATTAATATTATATTTAAACAGTTATACTTTTTAGAATGTAATATAATACATTATTTTTATAATATTAATATTTCTAAAATATAGACAATCAATTCATCATATTATCTTAAACGTAAAAAAGGTTCTCCTAGTTCGCGGATCAAGCTCCAATAACTGTTTATTTATAACACACAAGAATATTATTTTTGGCTAGACTATTTGTTTTGATTTCTTGTTAATTTATTTTTCTTTGTTTTATATAATGTTAATTTTATTGATAACAAATCAATGTAACATATCACATGAATCAAAAATTACATTAAACATATTGTTGAAAATAACTTTTAACAGATCAATAACATAATGCTTCCTACTGCATTCGTAGGATAGACATATTCGCTTGTTTTTCTCTATTTCGTTTTTGGTCTCAAAATATTTTCTTGTGGCTCTCAGCTCTTGTGAGTAATTGTCTTTTCTTTTGAGAAAGGTCATTGGATGCGATATATCTGTTACATCGCAATCCTTCCCAAATTTCCTGATGTAGGAGATAACATGCTCGTAACTATCCATTGCATTGAAATTTTTTTGAAACTAAAAAGCCATATCTTATTTTGTATTGATTCTTCAAATCTCCGTAAATGTGTGATACCCGGATCCCTAATTCGCTGATCAAAAATCAACAAATTTATTTGAAATCTATATTCAATCCTCCCAATGGTAGGAATTAGTATATACTATCATCATGAAAAGTCAAATCACTTCTCACGGGAATAACATGCTCGACATAACAAAAATGCAAACCCGAGACAAACCAACAAAGACTCAACTCCAAACTTGGAGGAGATGACAAGAAATTTGTAAGTTTTTTCTTACTAAACGTAACCTGCGATGATCACCGAACCAATCTCCCCGAAGAGAAACATAGAACTTAAAATGGAAAAGATCGTGACACTGGAGAGTAGCCTTTATCATCATGCACCGTTGTGATGTTAAAGGTTCTGTTAGATTTGTAAATTGGGCCACGCAAAGCCAACACCGGATAGACAAGAATAAGATCATTGTGTAAATCCAACAGAGATTGATTTGATAACTTGCTCATCTCTCCATTCTTAAGAGGAGCCATCTTCTTAGTTTTAGACCAGGACGTATTGGTAGGAAGATCGAGTTCCCACTTCCAGATATCAAAACCAGCCGAAGCATCTTCCATGTAATTTAACTATGCTGAAAAAACAAAAAACAAAAACCATTCGCTTGTTAAAAAGTTTCTTGTTCATCGAGTCTGTGTCATTTTTTAAAACAGATACACACATCAAAGATGACTCTGTCAGAATATGTAAACTTGGAAGAGTTTGTGATGACGAAAGACGAGTTCTCAGGAGCTGATATAAAAGCTATTTGCACTGAGGCTGGTCTACTTGCTCTCGGGGAGCGCCATATGAATCTAATGTTTGATTGTGGTCTGTTCAGGTGACGCATCCAGATTTCAAGAAAGCGAAGGAGAAGGTTATGTTCAAGAAGAAAGAAGGCATCCCTGAAGGCCTTTACATGTAAAATCATCACATCATCATCATCCTCTCACACTGCCTATGATACACTTTGCTTCTGCGTAGGATCTTTCTGGTCATATAAGATGTTGATATCACTCAAATTACCCTAATGAGTGAATTACTCTCTCAAATAAGAGGTTCAGTTGTAGTACTTAGGGATCAAATTCACAAGGAGCTAGGGAACCAATTAGATCTAAACAATTTATGAATAATCTAGGAGTATAAGTAATAAAACAATAAATAAGATTATAAAGCAGTAAATAAAGTAAGTAACAAATAAAGTAGTAAACAAGTTGAACAATGTAATTGTTCAGCTATGCAGAGAGTTATTTGATGGAAGGATTGTTGCTAGATCTAGGGTTTCTATTCAGGAAATCAGGATTCTAATGATATAGAGACTAAAGCATAACATTATAGAACTCAACCACTAGAATAACCGATCAACTCTCGTTGCCTAAGTCATCTATTACTAGATCCAAGAACTCCAACTATCGTTGTCAATTCTAGGAAAGCATCGATCGATGCCGGATTAGGCGTATCGATCGACAGGCTTAGCATCGTATCGATCGATGTCTCTATAGAAGAATCGATCGACACGCTTCTAGTAAACTTTTAGCGCAGATTGAATATATGTTCACTAGGGTTTCTAGACAACTCTCGAATGTATCTATCAATCCTAGCTTAGAGAAGATAAGTCAGATAATAAATCTATAATCAAGTTCAGGTTAATTACTCCTAAACAAGCATTAAGAACAATCTACAATGATGAATATCGAAACTTAACAATTCTATATTTGGGGCTAATTCTTCATAACCTATCTGAACCCTAAACCTAACATGTGGATATATTCAGACATGATAATTGTCACATAAATCATAGATGAATAGATATAAAATATATAAAAGCAATAAATATTAAAATAAGAGAAACTGAAGGAGTTCCAGGAGGATTCTGATAGGAGTTCTTCCCTTCTCTCCTAAAACTAGGAACAATGAACAAAAGAAAGCTTAGGTAATATCCCCCGTCAACAATGGCTTATAAAACAGTTAAATAGGGTTTCTGGTCATCCAAGGGCATTCTGGTAATTTATGATACCTTCTGGACCAAAATCAGTCATAAAACATACTCGTCCCGCATTCTGCGATCTCCATCGATCGACACAAGTAGTGTTGCATCGATCGATTCGTCTTTATCTTCTCAACAGCTTCCTTCCGTGAGGCAGACTGACTTCTCTTCAATAAAACGGGCATACCTTCTGCTACAGAATGCTGATTGACCTCAAACCGGTGGCATTGGAAAGTTAACTCAAAGATATATCTTGTGTCAGAAGATGAGCGAAATCTAACAGTGGGAAGGTCTCCATTCATAGCTAAACATCAGATGTGTTTGTGCAATTCTGCACTCAAATGACTCCAAAAGATACCAATATCAGCATATTTCTCCAG